AGAGACTGAGGCTTCTCAATGAGAAGATGAGAAAAACAAGATATTAACAGAAAACCATGAGACTGAGCTCTGTGGATTAGGGATGCAATGATTATAGATTTTGTTGGTACGATTATTGTCTGGATAACCTCAGTCATCAGAGAGAGTGCAGGGCTGTAAATACTACTCGTTACGATCGAGAGACTGACCTTCAGAGAGCTGGCTGAGCTCGGGGCTCTAGATGGACAGTCAAAGCTCTGCCCGCAAGACATCGGCATTAGTCTTTTAAGATCAGCCGTCTCCATGCAGGACAAAAACACAATGTTCTTTTGTTGTGTCCTTGGGTACTCAGTAACTGCACAAGTAAATCCTCTTAACCGTTTATTCAACAGATGCTACCTTTTTACAGAACTGTCTGCTTCCTCTTAGGGAATACTAAGTAAAAGCTCTACACGTAACAATATACTGCCACCTTGTGGTTAAACTACAAAACACCACATCTTTCAGAGCCTTTGTGTTTCTTTGACTAAATTTGAAGCATTTGTTTCCAAATAAAAGAGAAACCAGTTACCCTAGCGGAAGTATTTGTGAATAAACAAAAGTATTTCTGCATAATCAACACTGAATATTCTGAAGTCTCCAGTCACAACATTTTAAGAAAATAAAACTGTTGTTTCTAGACAAAGCTTATTATTATTACAAAATGTTTTTTTATATATTTTTATAATTTCATAAGTTTATTTTATTATGCACACACTTTAACACGTGAAATTATTAAAATATTAAATTATTATTTGAACTTACAATTAGGGCTGCACAATTAATCGAATTTCTAATCGCAATTACAATTATGGATGCCACAATTACGTAATCATTCAAAGCGGCAATTAATCGTTCAAAGTCCACTCATGTTATTCTGCGTGCTTAAGATATGTTTTTTTCTTTCTACATGTTATCTTAAGGGTTTTTCCATTGTTTTAGTTTTAGTATAACATTATAATACCATTCATATTTTTTTTACTTTTTTATAATTTAAAGAAGAAACCAATCCGATGTATATTTGACATTTGAGGCTTAATACTATAGAAAGGCACTAAGAGTGTTTTCAGCTTGTTTTTATTTTATATAAAAATACGGCATGCAGTTGCATCAAACAATGGTATAAACATCATTCAATGTAAATTGTGATAATCGTAATTAATAATCGCAATTACAATTTCAAGGAAATAATCGACAATTATGATTTTTGTCATAATCGTGCAGCCCTACTTACAATTATTATTTTTTAAAACAATTATTATTTTATTTAAATTCTTGCCACCAATTTGGTTTGCTTTTCTAAAGTTTTGGGTTTGACAAAAAATGCTTTTGGCCTTACTGTCACTACAATCAATAGACAAGTGCTGGTTCCCTCATTTTCCCACAGCTACTTGTAGGGCTGGGTATCGTTCAAAAATTTTCGATATCGATACCGATACCTTGACTTCGATACCGGTTCCTGAACGATACTTTTTTCGATACAAATTTTATGAAATCTATTTGAACAAGATTACATTATCTAAAAAAAAAACTTGGGTTTTATTTTTCAGCTTGTTGATGTTTATACAGACTCAAAGCCACTGCACAAAGGAACAAAATGTAACCAACAATAAATCAGTGCAAAATAGTTTTAATAAAGCTCAAATAGTCTTCAGTTTACACATCTGTTAGCTACATTTACACTAGTGCGTGTGACAGAATCACCTAGCTCAGACAGAATCGTCATTTCTATTCATTTTCTACTGATTTACTGATAAGCATTAGCAGTTTCTAGCGCTGTCTGCCTGTGCTCTCTCTTCCATGATCGCTGCTCTGACTCAGAGGTAATAACAGATTTAATTTCAGCAACATTACATGGCCAAAACACACATTAGACGGCAATCGGAAGTTATTACAAACACTCGATGGTGGTTTAAAGTGAGTTTTGAGTAAAAGCGGAATATAAATCTTATTTATTGTCTTATGCAGGGGTTAAATTGG